ACATGTTCTGCCTACCATTTCCATGCTTCCTCGGCATTGGCTCTGCTGACTGGGGCTGATGGAAGTTGTAGGCCAAAGAAGTTTTCCATTGCTCTAACCACTTCTGCACCATAGTTCTCCATCTTGCCAGCTATGAAAATGGGATCTGCTGGTGCCAAGTTAAAATGTTCTCACTTGCCCAGCATGTTTGGCTGAATTATATTGATCTATCTTGAACTGTATTTTCTGGCTTTCAGTCATCATATTATGGTGATTGTGTTTTATTGCTTTTTTGTGTGTCTCATAGGACTGTTTTGTTCAAATCTCTGGAACTGTTGCCCTTTCACCTGCACAGATGACAGGTTGCTGAAGACTACTTGGAATAAATTAAATAAATTGATTTAAATAATTCTCCATCAATGCTGGGGAGATCCTGACACATCATAGCATTGGTTTTTCTGTAAGAAAGTTGTTTGGAGCTTTCGCCTTGAGTGCTCTGTTTGCAGCAGAAAGAGTGAAATTGATAAATTGCTACCTGTGTAGCTGACACATAAGGAAAAGACAGCTCTTTGGTAAAATCAAAAAAGCAAGTATGTCTCAAGGAGGATATGAAAACACTTTGGCATTCTTTGTCTGTCTCTAAAATTCAGAAGCAAGAGTAAAAGAATATAGTTCTCAATGCTGCGCTGACGTAACTCGATACACCACAATCACAGTATGGTCGGATCAGGCTGCAGGCTCCCAAGCCTGGTCCCATTTTTCCTCAAACACTCAGGCAGAATGATCTAATAAAATGTATACCTTCAAATAAGGAAAGTCTTTTGAAAAAGTGTTTAAATATCAATAGGTGGTTGGCTGCATTGCCCTCCAATTGCCAGATACATTTTGCTTGCATGAATCTTCTCCAGCAGCTCATGTCAAAATTATAAACAGGTGTGCATGAAGAGGACAGTTGGAGCTCCCTCGCATTGCAGGGGCACGAGCTTATCCTCACGGGTTCTTCCAGTCTCTTAGCTCCAACTGCTACCTGTCAAAGGCCAGGTGCCCATTTCCCCCCCAATTGACGGGTGTTTTGTTTGCTTCTTTGTCCAGTTGAAAGACAGGACGATGGCATCGTGGAAGTAAAAGTCTGTGAATGAAACAGGAAGGACTCACCTGGAATCCCCCTTACTCAAGAGTTGCTTGCTGTTGTTGTTGTTAATTGCAAAGTTGCGTCCGACCCATCGTGACCCCATGGACAACATTCCTCCAGGCCTTCCTGCCCTCCACCATCCCCTGGAGTCCACCCCAGCTCACACCAGCTGCTTCAGTGACGCCATCCAGCCACCTCATCCTCTGCCGTCCCCTTCTTCTTTTGCCATCGATTCTTCCCAGCATCAGGCTCTTCTCCAGGGAGTCCTTCCTTCTCATGAGGTGGCCAGAGTAAATGAGTGTCATCTTCAGGATCTGGCCTTCTAAAGAGCAGTCAGGGCTGATCTCCTCTAGGACCGACCGCTTTGATCGCCTTGAGGTCCAAGGGACTCGCTGGAGTCTCCGCCAGCACCACAGTTCAAAGGCCACAATCCTTCGGCGCTCAGCCTTCCTTCTGGTCCATCTTTCACAGCCATGCATTGCAACTGGGAAAACCATCACCTGGACTATACGCACTTTTGTTGGCAGGGTGATGTCTCTGCTTTTTAGTATGCTGTCTAGACAAGAGTTGCTACCCTTCCTTTGTTACACAGCCTGAGATTGCCGATCCATTGGTTTCTCCATCAGAGAAGCGAGTGGCTGTTGCCCAGCCATTGTTCGTGTCTAAATGAGATTCCTGGCAGAGCTTGGAGATGCACGTGGGCCAAAAGGCGCTCATCTTTCATTTCCAAGCATTAGGTCCTTCGCCTTTTTTGCAAGTGGCGGATGCTCCACAGGTACCCAGCCCTGCCTAACCTTGATCCTGGGTTTACAAAGTGTTTCACCACTCAGGGAGTGGGGTGTACACCACACTTTGATGTCAACGGTCACTCTTGAATTCGAAAGGATGTTTTTGCAAGACTGGCAATCTCTATCTCCTCTCTGTTACAGGTGCAGGTTTGCTTTGCCAGCCACGTAAATATGCATTCAGAGAAGGAAAACTGAAGTCCTGCATAGGTCTATTCCATTCTGACAAGGTTCAGAAAAGATGATATGGGGAACATGAATGACTGATGCTATGAATGCAGCTCCCCATGAGATGCCATGTTGGGTGATGCGCATTTTCATGTGTAAGTTCCTCAGGGCTCCTGCTTTCTGGTACTCATTACGACTCCGGGCACATTGGTGGTGCTGAATAACTCTGTGAAGACACAGGAAAAGTAAAAACAGCTCTGCTGTTGGGGCTTTCTGCTTTGTCATTCTCCAATTTAGGATGAAATTCCTTCCAAATGGCAAACTATAATGGCTGATTGAGCAATCACCTAGGAACCTCAGTCAAAGAAGAGGGACAAGGCCTTCTTTTCCATATCAGAGATAAATAGTACCCCCTAGAACCGCTTCAATTTCAGCACATGATCTTTCAAAAATGGATCCCTGGTACATTCTATTTCCTTCTGTCAGGAGACCAGCTAAAAGACTCTCACCCTTTTCCTATTCACTCCAGTGTACAGCGTGTGCTTTTAATCTCTGAACCCATTTTGTTTTATAAAAGTTTCCCTGCTAGCAAAGAACGCTGGAAATTGAAGTATTTTGCTCTTTTGTCCCCTCTTCCAGGAAGGCAATGATTATTTATCTCCCCATCTTTAATTCCACACTCTCCTGCCTCCTTTACAGAACATCTTACCATTGCTCCAATAACAAGAAATTTCTCCTTAATAAGGCGTGTGGTCCACTCTTTTCCATTGCTCAGGACAGCCTTCTGCATTTTAGGGAGTCTGGTGAAAAATAAGTGCTCCCAGCTCCTTGGCAACATGGGCTGCTCCAAACGGAAAAGCCATGATTTTTTTTTTTTATTTAAACGTCATTTTAATTGTTAACAACATTTACTTATTTATCTGGCCAGGGCGACTTCCTTTCTTTTCTTTTATAACGTTTCCTTTATAACTTCTTTTATATCGTTTATATTCTTTATTTATTTTATACTATTAATTTTAATTTTATATTGTTATTTTTATATAGTATTTTATTATGTTGTAAGCCGCCCCGAGGCTTCGGCAAGGGGCGGCATAGAAATGTTCTAATAATAATAATAATGATGATGATGATGATGATGATGATGATAGGAAAGGTTTCAGCTCTAGAGTTGATGCAGCTCCTCAAAGCACAGGAGACCAGTCAGACAAAGAAAGGAAGGATTTTATCCAGGCTGGAGCCGCACTGATGGATTCACGCATTCGGCGGGTGACTTGCTCCATTGATTCACTCGCCTATTACTAGGGCAAGGCTGGTGAATTGCACAAACGACACTGGCTTAGCCACTGGTCTTTTTCGCCATGGGCTCAGTTCAATAGGGATTTTCCCAGTGCTTTTTTTGTCATAGAACACACCAGAACGGAGTTGCGGCACTTTTTTCCAACAGATTTTCCAAGTTTTAAAAGGAAATCCATGCGGATTCGAATCGCCCTGTCGAGCACAGCAGGTCGGCGGCAAAATCATTAAAACGGTGCGTGCGGGCTGCTTGTGTGTCGAGTCCGATGCGTGCACACTTCGTCCGCGCTGGTTGTGATGGCGCTGCTCGGCTTGTGATTGGTCGTGTGGTTGCGCGCTGAGTGCTTACTGCGAGCGGCGACCGTTACGTTTCGTTACACAACTGGCGTGTGTGGGTGTGTGTACAGTGATGGACTACATGTGAAAGGTAGATAATTTCATGAGTCCCGGCACCTTTTTTCTTACAAAAAAAGCACTGGATTTTCCCGTCTGCAGTTGTAGTCCAACCGTTGGACTGCATGACCCAGACAAGAAGGGGACCAAGCAAAGAACCGAAGCCACCGACTTGGTAGCGATCGGTGTCCACAGAGTTTGCAATGGCAGAGGGTTACTGCTTCCTGACAGTCAGGACCCCGAGGGTAAGGAATGGGCTTCCACGAGAGGTGGCTGAAGCCCCATCGGTGCGGGTGTTCAAGGATAGGCTGGACGTCCACATGGTGGGCATGTCATGAGTGAAGCTGGCTGGAGCCGGGGGTCAGACTAGATGGCCCGGGAGGCCCCTTCTGATTCGCCCTGTTTCTATGTTTCTCTTAGTCCACTTCCTTCACTCTGGGATGAACGAGAGGAGATCTTGACCTTCTTCTTCGTGACAGCTTAGAGGGACACCATGTCCCTCCTCCGTCTTGCAAGGATGTCAGAGGAGCACAGCTGCTCCCTGGCTTGCTTGTTGCGTCTTTCTCCTCCTCCACGTGCCGCATTTCACCCGACCTTGCCCGGCTCGCGGTGCCTAACACAGACGGCTGCCTCTCCGGGCTTCTGAACTACATGCCCCATAAGGCATTGCGCCTTCCGCGTTGCATCCCCTTTGCCGATTGGCTCGGCCTTTCCGGGGGAGAGGAGCACGTGCTGGCGGGCCGCGAAGGCCGCGAGGGCGGAGAGGGGCGGCCGGTCCCGGCGCGGGGGCGCCTCGCTGCGCGGTGCGTGCGCTGGCGCGGGATTTGCAGCCGGGCGGTGCGGGCGGCCCGGGTGAGCTTGGAGGCGGGGGCGCCGCGGGCCCGGGGCGGCGCGGCGCGGCGTCCGGGAGCTGCAGCCACTTCGGGAAAGCGCCTCGGAGCCACTTCGGGAAAGCGCCTCGGAGCCGCGCGGGGTCGGAGGAAGGGGCCGCGGGGCTGCTGCGGACGAGCCGGGAGGCCTCCCCGGGGATGCGCGCGGGGCGAGGCCGGGGAAGAGGCGGCGGCCCCGGCGGCTGCGGGAGGAGGCGGCTGGGCCAGCGGGGCTCGTCCGGTGGAGCGGAGGCGGTGTCGGGGCGGGGGGCCACGGGGGCTGCAGCCCCGCGTCGCTGCGCGGCCGCCCGCCCCGCCGCCCTCTCTCCAGGGGCGCCTGCTGAAATCAAGAGGGGGGCCCTGCGGATCGCTGTTGCATCCGGGCCCCTGGATGAGCTCCTTTCGGCTCCCCCTCCCGCGGCCCCCCGTGCCTGTCACTTTCTGCCTGAGTTCTCCCCTGCCCTCGCATGCCTTCCCCTTCCCTGGCCGTGCGCTCCTTCTTGCAAGCGGGGGTGTCCTTGCGGGAGAGGCTGCTTCAAACACGGATGCACAGAGAGGTCTTGCAGCACCTCCGGGGGCAGAAGCGCTCTGGGATGAGATGGACAGCATCCGCGTAAGCCAGTGTGCAAATAAAGTTTCTAGTCCTTAAGGAGGGAAGGAAATAAAATGGCTAGCCCTGCACCGTTTTAGACTGTTGGGCACCTTTGCAGTTGGGAAACTGCAGTGGGCAGCACCACAACATGGTGCCGATGGGAGATGTGGCAGCTTGACCCAGTGGCTACTCTGGGGACCTGGTTGCTGAAGAGCTCGGTGGGAGGTGTTGGGGTGGGGAAGGAATAGCAGGTCTATTCATTTATTAAAAGCTTTTCTATCCTGTTCCCTACAGAACGTTTCAGGGCGGCTTACAAGTCTAGAGACAGAGTAGGAAAGGGAAACAGAACAGGTTTCTATTCATGCATTGAAATATTCACACAGCATACAGTTAAATGGTGGAATTTGCTGCCATGGGAAATGGTGGTGGCTGCCAATCCGGGTGACTTTAAGGGGGGATTGGATGTGTTCATGCAGCAGGAGGAGGGGGCTGCCTGTGGCTACTAGACCTGCTGGCTGTGTGCCGCCTCCTTTTCCACAGGCGAAATGCTTGCATGCACCGTTTGCTAGGGAGCTTGGTAGGTGAAGGTCTTGCGCCCCTCCTGCTGGAGGGATCCTGTGGGCAGCTGGCTTGCCACTGAGTGTGTGCAGAGTGCAGGACTGGATGAACCTTGCATGGTTTTTCCTCATGTGCTTAGGAGCTGCTTCCTGGTCCCAGCTGATTGCCTGTCACCCTTTACTCCCTCTTTCCACTTCCAACCTCTCACCTCACTATATTCCCCCCCCACCCTCTCCTCCAGCACTGTGTGTCAAAAGAATTATATTTATACATACGTTTCCCCAGCAATAGACTAATGCCAGCTTGCAGAAACTCTTCTGCTTTATTTTTACCTAAAACTCTCTGAGAGTCATCGATGCGCCCAAAGTCATGCCATGAGTTCTATTCCTGAAGGGGCCCTAGAACCTGGATCGTCTCAAGTCCCTGTCCGCACTGCACTGGCTCTCAATTGTTGCAGCCACTGATTTTGGATAAATGAGAATATTTTGTGGTTCTCCAACCGCAGAAGCTGCTTCTCTCCCTCCTGATAACCCTGGTCTACAAATTTTGGGAAATTATCAAGATAAAATGTGCTAATTCTTACATATTTTGATTTAGATGAATTAGAAAACAGGTGATAAAGGGGTTGGTTGGCTGAAGATTTCAAGATATTTCGCAATAAAGATTTATATCCAGGCGAGTATATTTCCCTACACGGGAGGGAGGCGTCTGATGATAATGATGCCTCGTAACTTCTTGACAAAGTGCGGTAGAACAAGGAAAATGGTACCACATGGAAGTGTATAAATTTATCTTTGAGACTAAAGATTATTACCTGACTGTAATTTATTGTCTTGTCTTGGTCAGATCTAAGCATCATACAGTTACATCTAGTGGCTTGTGAAAGTGTCATTGCCTAATATTTCCAAGGAACAATTGTGTGATATTTTCCCCCAGAAGCCAAGATGCCTTGAAACTGTGTGAACAACGCAGATAAATTCTGCTGCATTTGTGGCGAGGTGACATTTGCATTTCAAAAGTGCAGCATGAGGGCAGTGGTAAAAAAAGACATGCCACCCATATTTTGGGTGCAAAATCGGGGATCAGGACAAGAGTTGGGCCCCTCTGATTGTTGCATTACCCGTGCAATGTATCTGCATCATTGGCTTAACAACAAGAAAAAGTCCACGCCTTTTGCACTCCCAAAGGTGTGGAGGGAACCTACCAATCATAGTAGTGACTGCTATTCTTGCGTGGTTCCCCCAGTTCCCCCAATCTTGGAAACTGGGGCCAATTAATACTCGGGGCTTAATTTTCCTTTATTAGTGGCCCGATTCTGGTAAAATTTAGCTACTTTCATTTCTGAGGCTTGTAGACCAGTGTGATGTGGGTTTGTGTCTTCGGGGATTTAGACTGTCCTTGGTTTGCAGGACATTCGGTTGCAGTAAGGAGTTGGCAGAGAATGTTTGGTGCGCGTTTTGTCAGCCTGGCTCTTCGCCGCTGTTCCTCTGCTCCGTGTCCCAAGCGTGCTGTGACTCCGAAGCTGCTACGGGTTCAAGAGGCACTGGATGTCCGGGATCCAGCCGAATGTGATATTAAAGTTCAGGTGGGTGGGCAGGCAGGGGAAAATATACCTTTGTGGTACTTGTGTGTGTGTGGGCACCGCATCTCAAAAGGTCTTGCAGAGCTGCAGAAGGTGCGGAAAAGGGCAAGAGGAGCAGTGACCTACAGAAGGAAAGGAAGAGCACCTTAGCAAAAAGGTGAAGAAGGAGAGAGGTGATGGAGGTGTATAAAATGGTGCATGGTATGGAGAAAGGGGATTGGGAGATGACCTTCTGTCTCCTGCTTGAATGCGAGAACCCAGGGTGGGCGAAGGAAGCCAACTGGTAAGAGGTTCAGTACAACAGAAGGAAGTCATTCTTCACCCAAGACTTAGCTTCACCGTAGAAATTGTTGCCACACGCTGCAGCCCTCGTTTTGGAGGGCTTTGAAAGGGATTGGGCTACTTCAAGAAGGAAAAGGCTATGAGTGGCTGACCGTTCTCTGGTCCCCCCAGACTCAGAGGCCCATGTGCAGCAGTTTCTGGAGTAGGTCAGGAGAGGGTCGGAGCAAAACTCACCGGAGTCTAACTCTCTAGCAGTTCATGGGCTTCCCCTCCGGGTCAGCTGTGCTGAGAGGAGAGCACAAAGGCTCGCACGATGGAGGCGGTGCTGCTGGCAGCACAAAAGAGGAATGCCGTGTTTGCAGCAGCTCCACACAACTCCTGCCCAAGTGGTGTTCTCCTTCCACGTCAGGCGGTGCGGAAGAGGGATGCTGCTTGCTCAGAGCACGGGCAGCTGGATTCCTGGCAGCGGTCCGGGGACCACGGGGCACGTCCTCCAGCAACTGATTCTGCTCCACTCCAAAGCAAACTGGAGTCGCGGGCCAACAGATTTCAGCCGCGAGCGGATTCCGTCCTGTCCCGAGGAGGGTGCTGTTGCCCTCGTGAGCTCCTTGTAGATTTTCCATAGGCAGCTGAGTGAGCAGAACGCTGGTCTTGATGGACTTGGATCTGATCCAGCAGGGCTTTTCTTGTGTTATGTTCTTCTCCCCTCGAAATCCAGGAATTGTTGCCCCGGTGCGACCTGACCTGGCATCTTCTGATTCACTTGTGGGGTTGCATCGCAGTCTTCTAGCAGCAGAAGGTAAGGCCGAGGCAAAATTCAGCTCAGCTGCTCTGCTTTTCTTCACTCTCCCAACCAGGGCTGGGTCCGCTCCATCCGGTCCCAGAAAGAAGTCTTGTTCGTCCATGTCAACGATGGATCCTCGCTGGAAAGTCTCCAGGTGGTGGCTGACCCACGATTGGAACCCAGGTTGGCAGAATGGCCTGGAATGAGGCCCATGGCCTGCGCGAGCGGGTCGGAAGGGTGGCGGTGCATTTTCTCTCTGCAAGTCAAAACAAAGCGCATCTTCCACTGCAAGGAGCTTTCTTCCACGTGGGGCTAGTGCCTTAAATGCAGGGCATTTTGACCTGGGAGAGCATTTGGATGTGAGTCCCCAGGCCACGTCAGCGCAACCATCTCTTCCAATGCCTCGGGCCCCTGCATCCTTCCCACCTCATTCCAAGGCCCAGGCATCTCTGCAGCAGAGGGGCAAGCATTTTGCCCCATGGGCCATGTCTGGAGGGGGTGGAGGGAGCTGATGGAAGGGGGGGTGACAGCTGTTGTCTCCCCCAACCTCAAATGCCTACAATCTCATTCGGAGATTCATAGAATAGTAGGGCTGGAAGGGGCCATGAAGGCCATTGAGTCCAGCCCCTGCTGTTGCAGGAAGCCAAGTCACACCGTCCCACTCGGGTGACTGTCCAGTTTCTCCTTGAATGTCTCCGGTGTGGGAGAGCCCCCCACCTCTCCAGGCAGCTGGTCCCACTGTCATGTTGCTCTGACCGTGAGGAAGCTTTTCCTGATGTCCAGCCTGAACCTGGTGAGCTCAGTTTAAGTTCATTGTTCTGTGTTCTGGCCTCAGGAAGGAGTGAGAAGTCTTTTCCTTCCTCCTGGTGACAGCACTCCATGAATACCTCAAAAGCTGTTGTCTCCCCTTGTAGTCTTCTCAAGGCTGAACTTGCTCAGCTCTCTCACTGTCTTGTCGGGCTTAGTTTCCAGGCCCTGGCTCCTCTTTGTTGCCCTCCTCCGAACCCTTTCTCATTTGTCTGCATCTTTTAAAACCTGGGTGCCCAGAACTGGACACACAACTCCAAGTGAGGTCTGACCTGTTCTCTTTCTGGCGTTCCCCCATCACAGACGTTGGGGAGACCATGAAAGATGGAAGACCCTCCCCACATTCTGTCCCCCCCCATCAGTACTGCCCCCCTCCCAGGACAGCTGGTGCATGGGGTATGTGATTCCTGCAGGGTCCATGGGATGCCAAGAGGGACGCTCCAAGCTGTGTTTTGCGGTCCACTTGGAGAACATTTCTTTCTTTATTTAAAGTATTTATATGCCGTCCTGTCACGAAAGCCTCAGGACGGCTCACATAGATAAAATACAATAAAATATAGATAAAATTATCGACCCACACTGGCTGCAATAAAAACATGTAAGTCATGAAATTAAAACTTCTTAAAATATTGCTGAAATAAAAAGGTCTTAACCTGGCGCCAAAAAACATATAACGACGGCGCCAGGCGGACCTCTCTGGGGAGCGCGTTCCATAGGCATCTGAATGCACATTCTGCCTATGAAAAGGCAGCTCCTTCCACCTGCTGGAGAGTCTTCTGGTGTGCTGATAGAGTGTGACTGCCCTTTAGCATTGGCTATGCTGGCTCAGGATGATGGGGCTTATAGTCCAACCACATCTGGAGGACCATGTGTTCCCCCATCCTGGCTATACTGTGTGGTTTTTCTTCATTAGACTTCCATTCGATGTAGGTGATATCCCTTTTTTGCAACGGAACAAATTCTCTGCTGTTCTGTTAATTATTGGGAAAAGGTGTATGTTGATTCACGAGGTGGGTAAGTTCCCCAAGTAGCCTTCCCCAACCAGCTGCCCTGCAGGTGTGCTGGATGCCAGCTCCGCTAGCTGCAGGCCTGGGGAGTTGTCTACCACACCCAGAAGACCCAAGTGAGGTGTAACCATTACAAGTCAAACATAATAGGCAATTGTTGTTGTTGTTGTTGTTGTTATTATTATTATTATAACATTTCTATGCCACCCCTTGCCGAAACCTCGGGGCGGCTTGCAACATGATAAAATACATTGAAATACAATAGTACATAATAAATTACCATTAAATATAACAATACAAAAAATACATTGATTTACAAATACAAAATTAAAATTATCAGTATAAAATAAAAATATAGGATGAGAAAGAGAAGGAAGAAGAAGTTGCCCAGGCCAGATCATATGTTTTAACAATTGAAATGATGTTTAAATAAAAAGGTCTTTACCTGGCGCCGAAAAATTGTTGGTTTTCTATTTTAGGGAGATGACATTTGGAAGTTCTGTGGAAGTGCAAGGAAAACTGATCAAAAGTCCCCACAAAAAGCAGAACGTGGAGTTGGCTGCAGAAAGCATCCGTGTGGTGGGATCTTGCGACGTTCTGGTGAGCACGTTCCTTTTGCTCGGCGACAAAGCTCACGCGTCAGAAGCTCTGCCTGGAATCTTCTGCTTGCTATCCCTGTGAATGGAGCACAGCAGGACTTCATCGTGACTAAAGCTGCGCTCCGCTGTCTTTCTCCTCCCTTTCCCCTGTCCAGGCATTCCCTCTGAAGTACAAAACCCACCAGTCCCTGGAATACCTGAGACAGTACCCTCACCTGCGGTGCCGAAGCAATTCACTGAGCGCCCTCCTTCGAATACGCAGCGAAGCGACAGCAGCGATCCACTCCTTTTTCAAGGTATTCCAGTATTCATGGAATTCTTAGCCAGGTCTGGTGACGGCCACTTACTGGGATGGCCTTCAAGAGGGATTGTTTGGGTTCCTGGAGGTTCAGGCTCTCCTTGGTGCCTCCAGTGTCCAAAGCTGCATCGCTCGCCATCCCAGTTGTTGGGAAACATTACTGGGTGTGTGTCTTTTCTGCCTGCCCTTGTCTGTGGACTTCCCATTGGGCCATTTGGTGGGCTACCGTGGGACCCAAATGCTGGCTGAGATGAGCCCATGGTTGGGTCCACAGGGCCCATCTTATAATCTTTTTTTTCAAAGTTTGATTGTTTTCTACTCACTAAACAAATACTTACTCCAAAGACTTCATACATACTGTGTACAAAGTCTTACTTCTCCCTACAAATGCTATGTATTTCAGCCCAAATTAGAGTTCCGATTCTGTAGCCATTGATAGAAAAAGTCCCATGTTTGGTGGTAAACTGTATCTTCTTTTTGCTTAAGAGATGAAGTCAGTCTGTCCATTTCTGCACGGTCCAATATCTTGTTCAAGATCAAATCTTCAGCCGGTAGCTCTTCATTTCTCCAACATTGTGCATATGCGATCTTTGCCGCTGGTCTTATGATCTTATTTCTGCAAATGGCACTGTGTCGAGACCTCAACGTTACGGGGACAATTGTGCTGTGGAACCGCGCAAGTGTCAGGGTGTCCTACCAACTTCCGGCGATTCTTTTCCATGGCGTTGCAAGCCATCGTGCTATGAAGTCATTCCTGTGAGGGCAAATAGATGAAGGCAAAATACGTGTCTTTGGGGCTTGCAGGCTCTCCTTTTCCTCTTTCTTTTATTTTACAAAACAAAACATGCTGGGAATCGGGGCTTGTAGGATTTATACAGTCTGGGGTGATGCTTAGACAAGGGAAGGCAGGTAGGATTCCACACCATTTCCCTGGAATGAGATGACTTCTGTAAATTAGTCGAGGCCGTTATTCCCCTGTAATTGAAACTGGGATCTGTTGTGTACCCGTCTAATCTAATTAACTCTGCATAACATGCCAGTAAGTTCTGCGTACAGAACGGGAGAGGTCATGGCCCATTGGCAGAGCCCTTGTTTTGCATGCGGAAGGTCGCCGGTTCAATCCCTGGCCTCTCCAGGTATGTCTAGGAAAGACGTGCCTGAGACCCAGAGTGCTGCTGCCAGTTCGTGTTGGTAGTACTGGTCTGAATGGAGCAAGGGTCTGGCTCAGTTGAAGGAAGCGTCCTGTGTTCAAAGCAGTTGCCCTCCTGCCCAAGTATGAAGCTCCACCATCTTAGCCTTCAGCTTATGGCTGTCTTTGAACGTCACTCTGCAGAGCTGGATTTTCCCCTTCCTAACTGGCTCTTTTCTGCTCCTTTAATTGTTTCTACCACCAGAATGATTTCTCCGAAAAATTCGCAAGCTTGCGGGCCGCCATCTTGTGGGGGCACCTCAGGGAACAATGCTCTTGTGATGCTCAGGGATCTGTCAACCACTCCGGAACCCATCAGACTCCTTCCAGTCCTCATCCATCTCCTTGTCCCCCTTGCTGCTGCTGGTAGCACCAACAGGCATGGAAGGAAAGGGCTGTTTTATTCCTGAGACGTGAATCCAGGGCAAACCTGCCAGGAACTTGGGCTACGGGAAACCAAAGCCCAGATTTTCCACCCCAAGCAGATTCTTCACAGATCCCTGGCGCTGATCATAAAGCCCTGAGCTCAGGATTGCGGGCATCCTGTGCTGTTTGGCTGCAGCATCTCAGAAAGTGAAGGAAAGAGACGGAAGTAGCATCAGGCTCATTTGCATCCTGACCTTCCGAGTGCACACCTCTTCCCCCTCCAAGGTCACTTTCCCTTCCTTTCTGGCTGTGAGAGGGAGATTGGTCAGACCACCAATTCCATGGCATTGACCTCACATCTGGGTATCCGAAAATAACCCCATGACGCTGCCTGGGGGAGCTGCAGGATTGCTGTCCCAATTGGTCACAAGAAAGGCACTGCCAAAAGCTGTCTCCCCTGATCCAGTTCCTTCCACATCCTTTCTACTCCAACTCCCATCCTTTCCAGCCAGTATGGCCAAGGACCATGGTGGCTGGAGTCAGATGGGAGCTGATGCCAGTGTAGGACACAGAATAATCAAGTCAAGTTGGAACAACCCAGATCCAGGCTGGACATCAGGAAAAACTTCCTCGCTGTCAGAGCAATGCAACAGTGGGACCAGCTGCCTGGAGAGGTGGGGGGCTCTCCCACACCGGAGACACTCAGAAAGAACCTGGGCAGCCCTCTGGGTGGGATGGTGTGACTTGGTGTCCTGCAACAGCAGGGATTGGACCCGATGGCCTTCATGGCCCCTTCCAACTCGACTATTCTATGATTCTGTGAGGTTGGCCAAAGCTCCTCTATTAACCTGTGGTTCTATATTGTCTCTGACCACTAGATGGCAATATTAGCACACCTGATCAAAACTAAGACTCGTACTTTGAACACATCAGGCAAGACCCCTGGAGAAGACAATTGTGCTAGGAAACATTGCAGGCTGGACATCAGGAAAAGCTTCCTCGGTGCCAGAGCAAGACGGCAGTGGAACCAGCTGCCTGGAGAGGTCCTGGGCTCTCCCACACTGGAGACATTCAAGGCAAAACTGAGCCGTCATCTGAGTGGGATGCTGTGACTTGGAGACCCGATGGGCTTCTTGGCCCCTGGCATTCACAGATATATTTCCCCATGACTTGGACTGGGGATCTTAGATAGTAATTTTTGATAAACCTATCCTTATTATAGGCCTAGTTCTTACACTTCAGAACTGGAGGGTTACGGAGCTTAAATGCCTCACAAAAAAAAGACCTTCCCACACACAGAAAATTTGGGCATCAAGAAGAAGGATTCTTATCTTTTGTCTGTGACGTGCTAGTTTTCTAGGTGAATAGATCTGTTGTGTTTAATTATATGAATCCCCCAACCTCTGGGCTGAGATGGTACAGCCCACAGGCAGTTTTCTACCTCTATAGGGACTTCCTGGAAGATCTTAACCAGGTTTGGGGATGATTCCAGAATGTCACAAGCTATGGAGACCTGCAAGCAGCAGGATCGATTCTGCGTGTTCGTGGGCTCCCAGCAGCAATTGCTGCCTAGAGGCACTTCCGAAAGTGGGGAGAAAATCCTGGAAGCAGGAAAGCTTTTTGCTCTTTCTCAGAAGAAGAAAGCTCCCTTCCCTTCCTGTTGTGCAAGCATCTGTCTAGCACAGAACTGTGTGCAAATCTCTCTGCTTGTGGCTCATCCCCTCTGGTCAGCTTGCAAAGTGCAGGATGAGTGCGGAAGAGGAAGCAGAGGGGGCATAGAAATGAGGTGGGTTTTCCAGGAAGGATTGAGAAATTGGTGGCATCTTTTGCAAATATTGTGATTATAAAATATTTAAAGGAGCAATACAAAGATCCTGAGGCTGGGTGTTCTTGTGTATGGGAATCTGTTAAAATTGTTTTGGGACCAGACACTGGGTCATGTGTTTATAAGTCAGAGCTTTTCCTCTTCTTCATTGCAGGACAACGGATTCATGCTTATTCATACCCCAATCCTTACCTCCAACGACTGCGAAGGTGCTGGGGAAATCTTTCATGTAGAGGTGAGTCTGCTAATTAAGCAGTAATGATGTTCTTTGCATATCGCCTTGGTTCAGAGGTTCTCTCAGAACCTATCCCAGTCTGTAGGCTGCTGGTCTACTTAATCAGTTTAGATTCCTCACATAATCAGGTGCCATTTTGGATTAAATTCTTCACTCTAGTTATAGGTCATACTCTGATTGATTGGTTGATTTATAATCCTTTAGACTGTCCCTTACCATAGTCTCAGGATGGTTTTAGAGTAAAACAAAAACAAAATAAAACACAGCATCCTAATCAAATTCTTAACCAGTCAACAATAAAACCTGTATTAAAACAGTCAAACCTTAACACATTGGGAAAATAAAAAGGTTTTAGCCTGGTGCGGAAAAGAATAAGTGACGGTGCCAGGCGAACTTCTCTGGGGAGTGAATTCCATAATCGGGTGCCACCACAGAGAAGGCCCTTCTCCGGGTAGTCACCCTCCTAATCTCCTTCAAGGGGGGCTCCCAGAGAAGGGCTGCCGCCCCAGATCTTAGAGTCAGGAAGGATGACAAAATACTTGCTTAAACAAGATGTTTTACTATAAAATGTATCAGTATAGCATTACTAAATACAAGGCTTATTTATACATACATAGGTCCAAACTCACAGTATGTGCAATATTTCTGAAGCCAAGGGTTTTATTTATTTATTTATTTATTTATTTATTTATTTATTTATTTATTTATTTATTTATAGATTTATTGTATTTCTGTCCTGCCGTTTTTCCTTTCAAGGAACTCAAGTCAACTTACATAATTTCCCTTCTCTTCTCAATCTTATCGTCACAACAGCCCTGTGAGGTAGGTTGGACTGAGAGTCTGTGATTGGCCCAGTCACCCAGTGGGCTCCATTGCTCAGTGAGGACTAGAATCCGGATCTCCGGAGTCCCAGTCCTGCTCTCTTAACCGCTATGTCACACTGGCTTTCTCTTTTAAACTGACTAATAGCAGCTGTTTGTTTTGGACCTTGGAGGATGCTTTTCTGTAAGGACAGCTCCCCATATTACGTGTTCAAAATCAACTTTACATACATTTGGAACTACTAGCATGTTCATATCAATTTACCTCATATATTTATCACCTTTTAAGCTACATTTCTATTTTAAATCAGGTCTGAACAATATTATTTCTTATGAAGGCGAATAACTACAGACAAAAACATTCCAAAATTCCATGGCATGCTACAGGCACTCTTGTAACACAGGAATTATTTCTTTGACCCGATCTTAGGAGCATGTCTTCTCAAATAACATCTCTTGCCACATGGCAGCCCCCCAAAACCTGGCAATGTTTAGCCTAGCTCCTTTCCCTACCAGTAGAAAGTATTCATGAGCTCACGGTCAGTTACGAACAGGGTGGCACTTTTGCTTCCCATCCAGGAAGTCTGCAAGATAAAATAAGTTTAGCTACTCCCATCCGAGGAGAAAAAGTTGCTTTGCATGTTTCCTTGCAGTTCTGCATTTTAATCCAGAATTCTCTTGGAGGAATCGAGTTACGGAATTTTCTTTGAGGTGGTGCAATTGGAAAGGCTTGCCTTGCATGGATGGGTCAGCACTGGCATTCAGTCACGTCCTGCCCCTGAATCAGGAGGCTCTTTTAGGAGCCCTGCAATTCTCACACTCCTCTGGCTATCAGATGTTTGGTAGGAATGCAAGAGAGGCCTCTAGAACTTAGAAACATCAAAACAGAGCGAGTCAGAAGGGGTCTCCCGGGCCATCTAGTCTGACCCCCCCCCCGGCTCTAGTCGGCTCCGCTCACGACATGCCCGCCATGTGCACGTCCAGCCTGTCCTTGAACACCTGCACCGATGGGGCCTCAACCGCCCCCCGTGGAAGCCCATTCCACACCCTCGAGGTCCTGACTGTCAGGAAGTGCTTCCTGGCATCCCAATGGAGCCTTGGCTCCCTGAGCTTTGCTCCGTTGCAGCGTGTCCTGCCCTCCTCTGCAGGGGAGAACAGGTCTCTCTCCACCTCCGTGTGACACCCCCTCATGCACCTATAACTCACCAACAGGTCCTCTTAGAGTCTCCTCTTCAGGCTGAAGAGACCCAGTTCCCTCAGTTTCGCCTCATACGGCATCCCCTGCAATCCGGCCACCATCCTTGTGGCCCTACTCTGGACTGACTCTGGCTATATCCTTCCTTTGTTCGGAGGGCTGCCTGGTCCCATTCTGATGGTCTTCCACCAGCAGGCCAAGACTGTAAATCAGGAACCCCAGGCTGTCGGCTGAATCTACCCCAGCCAAGATTACAATCCAGCCCTCCAGGGATCCCCGAGACACGAATCCCTCCCCCACTCCATCATTTTGAGGCTACCAAGTTTTGATGCCCTTTCCCCCACATTCTGAAAGGATGAGATGTTTTCCCTAAGGCTTAGTTACTGGCAGTAGGAGCTTTTATCTAAAACATGCGCGGCTTTCTGTTTTTATTGGCCGTGTGCCTTTTGCCTTTTCCCCACCCGTCAGTGGAACGCAACCCCTGGAGCTTCTTCCTCCAGCTGAAAGAGGTTTCGCGATCCTGCCATGGACCTCCTGGCCCAGCCATTTGCTGCTGCTGCTCTCTGCTGTTGCGGGATTTACTCTCACCAGCTGCTGAATTTCTGCCTGCTTCATTTGTTTTTATTGCAATGTCATCTGGATCGGATTGTCCTTTTAATGTTATTACTCACCTCAGGTGCTGAGTGTTGTTAGCCAGTGTGCCTGAGTATGCGCTTTCAGACATGCCTCCTGGACCTTTGGAAGGTCATCTTGACATTCTGGCCCCAGAGGCTTAGCATGCGGAAGGGATTCGAAGGATTTGGAGACTGAAGACCCACCACTTAACCCAGGAGAAATCCATTTAAAGGAATCAAATAGGCCCAATGATGACAACAGGCATCTTGGAGTTAACTTCCATTTATGCCATGTTGGAGTGAGAAATGCAGCCACCATGGAGAGCTGTGGTTTGATAGCATTGACCAGCAGATGGTGGAGAACTGGAGGAGGAGGTGGACGTGGGGGCTAACGGGAAGGGAAGGAAGCTGGTGCCAGGTTTGGAGAGAAGAAAAGGGCAAGTCAGTGGCCCACGAGCCCAGGGTTAGCCAGTGAAGCAGGAAACGTTGGCTGGGGGCTGTAGCCAGGTGTGGGTAATAACACAAGAAGAGATCTGGCAAGGTAATCACTTGCTGGGCAGAAGTGAGTAAGGGATTTATCTTCCTGATCTGCCCAGTCTGGGGTGTGATGAACTTGGGGCTGTGAATTCTCCTGCAGCAACAAGAAAAAGGAAAAGGGGCTGGTTGCATCCCCCGCCCCCCACAAGTCTGAGTTGAATTATTAGAACTCTAGTGGTGGCCGAATCTTGTTCTGCACCAAGCTCGGTAAACCTTCAAGGGATGTTTGATGGGAAACATACTAACCGTCTTTCGTATGTGCTTTCCAAGCACACGGAAAGAGGTAACTGGTAGTACCTGATGAGTTATTTTCCTAACAACTTTCTTGGGTGACATTTTGGAGCCTTCCCGTAAATTGAAATAAGATCAAGGGAAGGTCAAGGGAGTTACATCCAGGACATCTGTCAGCCTGAGAAGGAGGGACAGCTCTGTGGGACAGATACCATTCCACTCGGAGGACCAAGTTTTTCTTCTAGAAAAGAAAAGCACTCCTGTGCTTTCTGAAGTCATTATGAAATCTTTCTTTCTTGTCCAAACATCTTAGGGTGACTGTCAACAGCGTGGAAAGGCAAGCTGGTCGTTTGGATGAATAGACAAATGTAGAGGAGCTGCCGACTGACGCTCCTTCCCCAAATTTGTCCGAACCTCCTCTGAGCCAATGGCCGTCGCTGTACCTGCGTGCATAAATGAATTCTTTTGTGTGCATGCAGAAATTCTTTTGAGCTGCCCTGAATTGAAAGGGATAAAGACAGTCCAGGAATTTCTGTTTGTAAAAAATATGGGAGCAAAGAGCTGGGTGGAAACAGCCAACTTGAATAGAGTAGAGTAGAGTAGAATAGAAGTAGAGTTGGAAGGGACCTATAAGGCCATTGTGTCCAACCCCCTGCTCCACTTCCACCTGTGGTCCCCCATCCAGCTGCTGGCCCACACCTTTCCAGCTTAGCAAAGGTGACTTGACATGCTAGCTCCGTGTTTAGCTAAGCAGGCAGGCAAACACCATTACGGTTTCTTCTTCTCTAGCTCCTGATTCAATGCCGTGCTTGGTTCAAAGTGTCAGTCATAATCAATAAATCCCTCCATGACTTAGGATCAGGTTATCTCGAAGGCTACCTCTTCCCATATCTCCCTACCCGTACTCAACTCCCGCTGCGTTTTGGGTTGAAATGGTTGGCTACTCTTCAGTGAATGCCCTTTTGGAATCAATGCAGCCACAGCCTTGCATTTACAAGAGATGAGCAGGGCTGTCCCAGGCAGGATGTCTTGGAGGGCGTCCCTTCATAGGGTCACCAGAAGCCGGCGATGACTTGATGGCACCAATGCATTTTAGCCTGTAGCTGCTCTGTTGTGTTTGTTGCTGCTCTTAGAATGTGCTGTGTTGAATTATTTCGTGTGCATGCGTGTTGATACGAGAGCTCTGCCTGTAGAACGGCTCACAGGGTGAAAGGAAGGGATCAATAAATGGACCAAAGCTGAAGTCCGGCTTTCTGGAAGGGATAGAGACATTTCTGGGAAGGCTGCGCTGCAGTACACACAATGTGAACAAAGTTGAAAGGGAGATATTTTTCCCCCTGTCCCGTAATAGTGCAACTCCGATTGAAGCTGATTGTGGGGAGAACGAGGACTGGTTTTAAAAGGGGGCTTCTTCACGTAGCGCACAGTTAATTCTGGATTTCACTGCCACAAACATAGTGTTGGCCCCCAATTGGGAAGCTTTTAAAAGGGGTCTGGACAAGTCCATGGAAGGGGAGGGCAGCTCCGACTACTAGTCCTGATGGCTATATGCCACCTCCAGGGTCAGATACAGTGTGCCTATGTACACCAGTCGCTGGGGCG